TCAAAGACAGGTGTGATGGAGACCGTCCACCTCAAAGACAGGTGTGATGGAGACCGTCCACCTCAAAGACAGGTGTGATGGAGACCATCCAGATACAGCATCCTCACACAGAGACTTCAGTCACTGTGGATGTCAGCGACTTCACCTGGGAGAGGAGTAGGAGTCCTTCTGGCCGGACTGCGGGGGCGACCACGGCGATGGACTCCCTCTCGGCACTGGCTGAGTCTTAAACAACAACTTGACTTGGGTCAACTGGATTCACTGATGGCGAAGCTGCTTGAACTTCTTCTCCTGCTCTATATCCAACAAGATCCATCCATTTGCACTTGATCTATAATTAAAATTTTACATTTTTTACTGTAATTTTGATCTGTTACACATCTGTCCATCCTAGGGATCCCTCCTCCATTTTTTCCCCCATGAAAGGGATGGGGGGAGTTTTCCTCATTAGAATCGAGGGTCTAAAGACAGAGTGTTGTATGCTGTATAAATAAAATGTTATTGACTTGACTATAAAACCTACAGAGGTTCGCTGTGTAACAGACCTCACATCCAAATTTACATGGAATAAAGTTTTGACTAAACATGGTAAATAAAGTATATCATAAATCATTCCAGAAGCTGCTCCTCCACCGTACAGCTTCAAGTCAAAGTAAATGAGTAAGTACATTTTGGTCATAGTGTACTTTCTTTTTTATGACTGGCTCATGATCTGTGGCAGTAGTCTCCAACTCATAACCAAACCACATCCATCATATATTCATATTCCATGCAGCTGTTGTTCCATTGCAGGGGTCTGTTATTTGTCTACCAAGATGCCTGCATGAATATTATTTATATCAGTCTGTTTAATGGTGTTTAATGTACAACATGGCACAGACAATGATGCATGTCTTGTATTATTCTGATTACTTATTATTCTGTTTCTTTCGAAAATAATTCAGATTTTTTTTGTATTCCCAGAGAATAGCAGGATTGCAGGAAACCCTGAAAAAAAGTGTTTGAAATTTCCACATTCTGTTGTACCTCACAAATCAACCATCTTGACAAATCAACCATTTGTCAAGAAGCCGCCAAAATCCTTCATGTTGTTAACGGAGGAGCAGAGACCCAACTTCGTGTCTGAATTGAAGAACCACGGGAGCGCAGTGGTAAACACCATCCTGGGGCACAACATGACTGTGTTTGCTCTGTGAGACGCTCAATGTTATGAATCCTTTGAGGCGGTTTGGTAAAAGATTCTGCAGACGTGCTTGTTCTTTATTGGTCAGTGTCCAGAGAAAACTCTTTACATGGATCTGCTCATGTGTTTCTATGCTCCTGGAGTTGTGTGTCGGTGTGTGTGCTGACGGTGTGTTGCCATCTCTCCACAGTGGGAGTCACCTCTTAAAAGAGGAGCATGTCAAATATGATGAAGAGACAAACACAGAGGGACGTCTACATTATTTTGCTTTGTAATTAGTTATGTGACACATTGATTGGTTCTAGGTATGTTATTTTTTTTAATTAAATGTCACATTGTGTTTGTTCACTTGTATCAGACTGCACAATGGCTCCGTTGTAAAATAAAAGAACATTGCATTAGTTTGACATTTGAATCATTTATTAAACCAACATCTGTTACACTTCCAGAGTCTTCCCTCGGACAGAGTGTGAGTGACAGTGGACATTAAGATACAAATGAAAAAACCTGGAGGGTTGACGTCGAGGTGAAGAGCAGTTTCACAGCAGCTCTCTCACACCTCTTCTTCATTGTCATTTTCTTTACATCAGACGAACAGCATCGACACCGACTACCAAATTATCATTAGTTGGAACCAAGTAGAAAAAACAATCAGAAAAATGATTAAAAGAGCTTAATCTTTTTTCTTAGTGGATTTTTAAAGCTAAATACTGTAACACTTATTTTCTGTAAATTCAGTTTGTTTTCCTTGTATATTCTCATATTTTAGTAAATTCAAGTTGAAGAGAGTGAAGACCCTATGTCTGCATGCTAATCTGTTGATTTGCTGGGTCTATCTACAACCATCTCTCACATAAAACAAAGACACTCTCACAAACACACAGCACTTGCACACTCAGACACACTGTCGCAACATCTCCAAGGGCTTATCATTCACTGTGATGTTACAAAAAAATAATATCAAAATGTGTCCATATTCATACCTAATTAAGAAGTTGTCGAATGAGGGACAGGTTTGTTCTGTTGATTTTCTTTCTTATAGGAATTTTCTCTAAGAAATGATTGGCTGTCTGAACAGATGAGCTCACCTTCATGTAAAAAACAGATCATAATGAGTTTAATACTTTTTAAAATGTAAAACTGCCGTAGCAAACTAGCAAGTTGACAGCTGCGGATGCCACAGGATGGCCTGTTCAATGTCTCTGTTAGAGGACGGGAAGCTAAGTGGTAACCCAGTTCACTTACTTGTGTAGTTCACACATTGTATCTTGTTAGTCACCAAGTCATCTAAGGGTCACCTGCATTTTGTGTACAGTTAGGGCAGTGTTTAAACCTGGCAACCCCACTATGAGGACAGGACAGCTAGTTGGATTATAAGAAAATGGTGGTTAACCTTCGCAGGAAGGGGCCAGACCAAAAGCAATTCACCTATATGACCCTATATGAATCAACCACAAAGAGTTGCAGCACCTCGTACGGTCCCCCTTCTAGAGCCAGACCTGGGAGCGGAGCTCGCCGGCAAGCTTCTGATGGCCGGCATTGACACATGGGTTCGGCCGGGCACAGCCCGAAAAATCTATATGGAGCCGCCCCCCATGTGGGCCCACCGCTCACAGGGATAGGCATTGGCGTTGGGTGCATTGTGAGCCGGGAGGCAGGGTAAAAACATGGACCTAAGTGTGCTGACCCCTGGCATCTCAAAACTGGCACTACGGCTGTGGAATGTCAGCTCTCTGTCTGGGAAGGAACAAGAGCTGGTGGAGCAGTACCAACTAGATATAGTTGGACTCACCTCCACACATAGCACTGGGTCTGGAACCAAACTCCTGGAGAGGGTCGGAGTTGCTCAGAGTGAGAGGTGCCGGGCGGGTGTGGGAATACTCACGAGCTCACGGCTGAACACGTGTGTGTAAGAGTTTTCCCCAGGGGGAACTGCGAGTACCCAGTCTTCTTAAAGTCTCTGGGTGGTGTCCTGGAAAGGGCGTCAACTGGGACCTCTATAGTTTTGCTGGGGGACGCACATGTGAGCAACGATGGAGAAACCTGGACGGGGAGGATTGGAAGGAATAGCCTGCCTGATCTGAACCCAAGTGGTGCTCTGTTGTTGGAATTCCGTGCTAGTCATTGATTGTCCATAACAAACACCATGTTTGAGCATTGGGCGGTTCAATAAGTGTACTAGGTACCAGATCGTTCTTGGCCATAGATCGCAAGTGACTTTGTGGTTTCATCATCTGATCTCATGGACACTCGGGTTGGGGAGAGGAGCAGAGCTGTCACTGATCGCCAACTGGTGTTGAGTTGTATTACATGGCGGAGGAGGCTGCCAGAAAGACCTGGTAAACCCAAACATGTAGTGAGGGTGTACTGGGAACGACTGGCTGTGGACCCTGTCTGCGAGGTCTTCAACTTCCACCTCCGAAATAACTTTTCGTAAATCCTAGGGGAGGATGGGGACATGGAATTCAAACGGGACATATTCAAAGCCTCCATTCTGGAAGCCGCGGTGAGGCCGGCAAGATGAAGAGGGAGGCCTTTCAGGCTTAGCTGGCCCAGAGGTCTCTGCAGACAGCAGACAGGTACAGGTTGGACAGAAGGGCTGCAGCAGTTGTCAAAGCAAAAAACCCAGTATGAGAGGAATTCAAGGAAACTATGGAGAAGGACTTTTGGTTGGCCTCAAGGAAGTTCTGATGAACTTTTGGACGACCCAGAAGGGAAAGCAGGGCATAGCTCAGGCTGTGTTCAACAGGACAGAACTGCAGACCCGTACTGGGGATATTGGCAAGCAGTTGAAAGAGCACTGTGAGGAACTCCTGAACCCGACCACATGTCCTCCATGGAGGAGGCAGAGTTTGAAATCTTGGGGGAAGACATCCATATTCCTGGCACAGGTTGCTGAGGTAGTCAAAAAAGCTCCTCGGCAGCAACCCGCCAGGGGTGGATGAAATTCGACCCCTTGAATTCCGTGACACGCACCTTTAGTGTCCCATGGAGGTTGGGGACAGTGCTTGTGGAGTGGCAGACCATGGCAGGTGGTATTTATCAGGGTATCACACTGCTCAGCCTCCCGGGGAAAGTTTATTCCAGTGTTCTGGAAATGACACATCAAGGCATCTTCCTCTACAAATTTCTGGTTTGCCCCGACCTTAAAAATTTCCTGCGGATTCCTCCAGACAAACCACTTCTTTTTGAAGTATGAATCGGACGTACAATTACAGATATCGGGGCTTAAAAACACTTTGTGGAACTTGCATGGATTATGAGTGGAAACCTGTGTAGTTCACAGACTGTTTGGAGATGGGTGTAAATTGCCACTTTTTAAACTTCTTTCAATGTGAGAAAAATTTACACTGACAAGACTTGGGGAAGGGAGAGAAAAATGAAAAAAAACCCACCCTGTTACAATAACTTCCACAGCAATTTCCACTGTTACACATGGTGCTGTTTCTTCTCTTGCTTCCCTATATACTTATTTTTACAAAGTCTGTACAGTGTCAATGTACATGTTATCTATGTGGAGGCAGGTCAATGTCAGAGTGAGTGAGCTGCACATAACACAAACACACACACACACAGAGCGACACTCATCACAGTCTCTTCACAAAGAAAAAAAAAGGCTCATTTGGCCAAAGATTAACTGTGAGAGAGTGTCATCTGGACCTTTAAGGTGGAAGTCAAACCAGCCCGGTTTCAGGATGGTCCCAATGTGTGTGTGTGTGTGTGTCTCCATGGAGCATTCGCAATCGTCCTTTCAGTTGTGTCACACAAAACCCCCAAATGAATCAAACTGGTACAGCAAGATTCAAAGAGTCACACATCAAGACGTATGTGCCTACCATATCGAAAACTACAGTCGATTGCACATCCACGCAATCATACACACACTCGTGCTTTGACAAAAAACACATAAGCACACTGGAGCCTACGATACAATATCTTGAGAAGGCATTAAGGAAATCTCCTCAAATAAATATAAATAAATTAAATCATATAAAAAGAATGGGTTAAAAAACATAGAAATTCTGTTAAATACCGCAAAAATCTCAAATGAGTACAATAAACAACAGTACTTGCTCGTAGACAAAGAGCATATGGATGCAAAGAGACAGGTACGTTTTGTAAACAATGAGAGACAGACAGACAGACAGACAAGCGGGTAGAAACATTCATAAATCATTAGTGAGCAGAAAGGCCTGTTGGGGCTCTGTGGTGGTGGTGGACTAGCTCTGTGGGGTCAGGTGGGGTGGGAGGATGGGCCCTGGGGGGTATTTTGTGGGGGAGCTGGCACTTCTTCAATCCCTCCCAGGAAGTACGAGCATGCTCTGCTGTGTCTAAGTGTTATGCACGGGGCCTTATTGGCAGTGCTGCTTTCACCCCTATACCGCTGTTGTTCATGGATTCAGGAGGGCTATGGTCAACTGGACAGCACCGAGTACTGTGGACGGAGTGGACATGACCAGATTTCCTCAAGATTACCCAATGCTGAAGATTGATTACAAGATTGTAGATAACGATAATAGATGCTAGATAACAATAGCAGTTACTATTCTGCACAGTATTTAACACTCATGGTACTGTAATAGCACTACCACGATCCATACATAGACTGAATATAAGTAGACGAAATCACCTATTGGTTTGTGGACTGCCTTTATGAAGCCTCGTCTTGGATTATGGCTGTCGCCATGTTGTTTTTTAAGTTACCATATATAGAATATATATATATACAGTATCTAGTATACGACTCTGGTAGCTACATCGACCTGTCAATCACAGTAAGCCCTGCCCTAAAGCATACACTGCTTTATGGTCTATTTGACTGTAAATGGACCACAATTTACTAAATGAACATCATGCTGTATTGAAGAAGACTTGAAACTAGAGATTGAGACCATAAACTCATGTTTACAATGTTTACTGAGGTAATAAATCAAGTGAGAAGTAGAGTCACTTTCTCATAGACTTCTATACAACCAGAGGTGTCGCCCCCTGCTGGTCAGTAGAGAGAATGCAAGTTTTAAGACACTTCCACATTGACTTCACTCTGAGTTCCACAATTCTTGTACCAGTTTAATGAACAAGTATGCCAATACAAATAAGCAGCATATAGCTGTTCAATTTTAGTTAGCTGTACTCATTGTATTGTGTTAGCATTTGATTTTATTTGGATGCAACAGCCAGCTTTGATGATACTTCTGAAGTCCTTTTGGCCTAGTGGGAGACATTGACTCAAAATTAGTAGGATACTTTTTAGAATTTTTAGATTAGGAGCTTTTTTGAAATTATGGTCCATATGATAAGAAGTTTAAGTAGTGTGCCCACATGTATACCTGTGTCCAAATTCTTCATTCTGTCCTATGCTCTAATATTATGGAGAGTACATGCAGTGCTAGTAGTATGTAAATGTAGTATGTGAAAAGTGTTAGTATGCAATGTTTACAGATCTATGAACAGGGTTTCTACAGGGTTCGTACTTTTGAAGACCTTTTTAATACCAAATAGAATGCAATGTAAGACCTGTTTCTCTGTCATATTAGATATGAAAGTATAATGGAAACAAACAAGGGGGGCAATGTGTGTAGAATTATTCATTATTATATTTTTGTCACTATTTCCAGGAAACACTTAATAATAACAAGGAACATAAAGAAAAGCGTCACAAGATGAATGGCTTGGATTAACCAATTATAAATTCATTCTTAAATTGACACTTTCCCGTTATGAGCTGATGAACTTCCTAGCTTTACTGTAGCGATGGTGTTTGTTACAGGTGTGATGGTGCTGACTGAAACTCCACAGGCAGCACAAGCCAATGGCCACTGTTTGAAACGATCCCACTTACAGTCTCTGGGTGTAACTTCTCCAGACGTATCAATCGTTTATCAGCGCTTTAGCAGCCTGGGGGAGACTTTTTGTAACTATTTTTAAATGAGAGTGAAGGGCTTTGTGCGCTGCTTTTGAGTTGCTGAGTGCCTCAGGTAGAAACCTGAGGCGCCCTGAACACCTTGAGTGTTCAAGTAATTCAAAACACAGAGCAGAAAAGTGCCCAACTTCATTAACGCTTGTTTCCTCGTTGTAGTGACTTTTGCTGGATACCCGGAGCTATATGGCTTTACTAACCATAGCTACTGTGATCCGAGGGTTAGGGTTAAAGAATTAGTGCAGTACAGGTAAGTTGTGTACTATTAACTATTTTGTAGCGTACATTTCATAGTTTGTGTTTACTTTTTCGTTGGTTGCTGAGCAATGATAAAATAAAGAAGCAGCAGCAAATTGCAAAACGTGCTCTGTCTGATCAGGGCCCGACAATATATATTAGACTTTTATATTACACTATGATAGATTTTTCTAAATTAGATGTAAGATGAATTTAGGCCTTTAGGGGGAAACTAAATTCAATGCTTTTTAAGACATTATGTTGTGTTCACTTCATACTTTATAGAAGGAAAATTCGAACTCAGTCTATGCTTACGCGTCTGCAAACACAACATGGAGGAAGTGTTGGAGCCTTAAAGTTAAAACACAACTAGTGATATGGTGTTGCCGTTCTGATGGCTAAGCGGCCAACAGAGCTATATCACCTTATCGCTGTCTTCCTTTACAGCTACACCTTTTTAAAGTCTGGCTGCTGGCAGGCTACATTCTGGCCCATTGAGACGGCGCTAAGTTCGCCATCTTGAGGCAGGATCTCATCTACTAAGTAGTGGCAGTGTAAAACATGGACGCAGCTTCACCTTTACACCTGGTGTCTGAGACGTACAGACCGTATGGTGCAGTTAGGCTTTACATCTTGTGGAAATCTGGTGCCGAACCCTCTGAATGCATTGCCTGGCCAGTGAGAGACTGTGGCAGAATGTGGGTGCAATATATGTTTAAATTAACGCATCATTCGTCTCACTGATGATTCTTGCTTTGCAGTAGATGGTGTGTTACACCGCAGAAGGGGGAATCCCGGGGGCAAGACTTTCCATGGCCATGTGTGCATGAGCTGATATGCGTGTGTCAATTTCTGTGTGACAGTGTGTGTGTGTTAAAGCAGGGGGAAACCAAGATCACAAGCAGTTCATAGAAAACAAAGAAGCTGGATTTAAAATGAACCTTCAGGTCCTGAACTCTGAGTGTGCCAGTGAGAAAGAACACGTATCAGGTGAAATGATGAGATCCCTGCTAATTCCTTCATTCTGTACGTGTACACGGTATTAATGTATGTGAAGGCACACACAGTACTGTAAGCATATGAAAACCTTGGAACTCCAATACTGGTGTATGTAAATGTCAATTAAAGGACTACATCTACAGAAATAGAAAAAGAAAACAGCTGGTTCAACTCAAAATGTAGTGGTGAAACTCCAAACAAGGCAGTTTTGTTAGTTTCAGAAAAGTAAACGGAGAGGCAAGGTGCTCACCCAGCGTCAACAATGTGTGTGTGTGTACGTAATCCTGTGCTGGTTGAGTGTGTGTGGGCATGCCATGGAGGGGGTTAAAGGGAGCGTAGGGAAGGCTAAAGTATGGATTGTGTGTGTGTGTCTGCATGTGTGGTGGGGGGGCTATAGGATTCCGTCCATGAAGCTGGTGTCCAGCCGCTGGATGAGTACGCGGATGAAGGACATCTCCTTGCGGGTGTTCTCGAAGATCACCCTGGGGTCGTCGGACTGGCAGCGCAGACAGTTGGGGGCCATGACCATGGCCAGGTTGTTCACATCCATCTTGGTGATGACCACATTGGCAGACTGGGCAAACACCTGAACACACGCAATGCAAAGCACAGGAGTCTAGAGGTGGCCTCAAGTCAGATTCAAGACATTTCATAGACATTTTATTGTTTAAAGTTTGCTGGGGTTTACTTCAGCCATTTTGATCTGAACCATAGCTATAGTGAGCATTTGTTCAGCGTTGATTAGCATTAGTTTGGCAAATGCTAACATACCAGCATTGAAACAAACAAACAAACATGGTTTTGCATACAATATGCCAATAAACAGTTTGCTCACTTTTATTGTATTTGAGGGTTTGTTTCGCTGACAGCTAGCAGCTAATGGAAATACCAGTACACACACTACTGAGTACATTGCCACTGCTACGCAGGCAGACAGCTTGGTGAGTTTTTTGGGGAGGGTCGTATGAAATGTCTTACACAACGACTTTGAGTCGATTGTCTGCATACAACGCCGCTTGTTTTTAAGCTTAAGTAAGTTTAAGTTTAAGTAAGGTTAGCCAATTGTGAGTTGTATTTATTCAATCATACAATACGCAAGTATTCGTTGTAGACGCACCAGGCCGGGATCTGCACACTACTGAGTGCACCTTTCTAGTTCTCTTGAAGAACACTTCGATAATGCTACTGGTGGCATGCGGCAACATCCACAGCTGAATGCTAAAGCTCCTGTTTAGAGGGTTGTTTCACCCAAATTGTAAAAAAGACAAAACAAACCAACCTATTTCTCATTATGTTCTGTATGCATAGATACATACCATGGCTACTATTGGTGCAGACAGGTTGGGTTTCACCTTTCCGCATCAATAAATGGAGCTGAATGGAACTTAAGCATGTGCTGCTCACACAATTCAAACATTAAATTTTTTTTAAATCAACAGCGGTGTTTCTTTATAGATTCAGTGTTCATGTGCCTCTGGATAATAGACAGTTACAACAGTTTTAATAGGAACTATGTCTACTTTGGTAGAAAGTAGTTAATGCTGTTGACAAACATTCCATTCACTTCTTTTGTATTGCAGTGGAGGCAAAGAAAACCAAAACTGATACCACTAGAGGGAAGTGGGAAAATACTGGTTTTCACAATTAGGCTCAACCGACACATTAAGGATACCAGTCTCAGATGAGAAGTAATGAGGACTCTGTCAGTTGTTATTTGTTTCACTTCAGGTTCCCCCTTTTTTATTTTTGGGTGGGGGTGGGGTGTCCTTAAACTGTTTCAGTTAAATAAAAAAAGGAACGTTTGGGGACGTATTTGTTGGATTGACAGGAGTCCTGTCCCACCTCAGCTCTAGTGTTCTCGCTTTAGTAATTTAATAAAAGTAAGCAAGAGTAAAAAGTCATGACTTAATGTTGACATTAATATTGTTACGATGTCACTAACACAATATCTAAGTAAGTAATGATATTAATGTAGGGCTGTGTCTTTGCTTTCGGATTACATTCAGTAGAGGCTGTGGAATAACAGTGTGTGTGTACGTGTGTGTGTGTGTGTGTGTTACCTGTAAGAAGCGGATGAGGTAGCAGAGCACCAGCTTGTTGATGTGCGGCAGGCCCAGCACCACGTTGACAGCGGCCTCCGGGTTGTCATAGTGACTGATGCACTCCTCGTAGAACTCATGGGGGATCAGCGGCTCCTCCAGCTCCCTGTACCAGAGCTTCAGCAGAGACGCTGGGGACACGGGGACACATGGGGATACACGGGGCCGCGTGAGAGCATTCAACTTATTCACCTCATGTCCATAACAGCAGCTTTCCTGTGAGTGGCAGCAGTGTGGAACCAGATCCAGGTCCACTGTAGACCAGCGGTGATCTCAGTGTGTGTGTGTGTGTGTGTGTGTGTGTGTGTGTGTTTACCTGGGATGTGCGGGTCTTCCAGCCCTGTGGGGATTTTCCATTGATCCACTTGCAGCTTGAGGGCATTGACTTCATCTATGTCCCCCGGTACCCTGGAGGTCAAAGGTCACAAGCTTGTTACACTTCAGTGCCCTTCACCTTTTACCGTCTCTGCCTGGTCTGCTCTCTATATGTATTTGTACCTCTGATCTCTACATAGTTGTAGTAGAGAAAAAAACTCAAAAATCCTGCTGACAGTGAAGGAGAGAACTGGAACTGAGCGGTTTATGTCACACAGGAAAGTGGATTCAATGGTTGGAATTGACTCGTCATTAATTAAGGCTTCAGCGGCATTATAAGTTTAGATGCTGCCTGTGAGAAACCACAGGAGAAACTCCAACTGTGAACACTGACATCTGATTTCCAATTAAAGACCCACATAGTCCTCTCCTTTCTGTTCGACTCACAGTCCAGTCTGTCTCCTCCACTCACCTGAAGATGCCTTCCATCTGGTCTCCGTTGAGACCCAGAACCTCTTCGGAGAGGCGGGTCTGCACCCAGGGCAGCTGGTTGTCAGGGTAGCGCTCCTTCTGCAGCGCCATCACCTCATCCAGTGAGGAGCCAAACATGGAGGGACTGAAGATGGCGTTCCTGGCGTGCTTGATCTCCTCCACACAGGGCTTCTGTAGGCCCTGAAGAGAGAGAGAGTTCATGTTAATACAGCGGGGCAGGTGAAGGGTAGCGTGGATACTTGAAGGATGTGGGTCAGAAAGCAGCGGGAGGAGAGGAAAGTCACATATAGAGATGTCAGTGGAAAGCATTGGTCCATCCACAGAACACAGTGTGCTGCTAGAGGTGAGCAGGTTAACTGCAGTCAAACACTGTGGAGTCCTAAAAGTGACAAACGATCTCCGTCAGCGACCTGCTGACATTCTGGCACCAACATGTACATGTTAGCATGTATGCTACACAGGCCGTGAGCCAAGCTGTTGCCTGCTGAGGACAGTGTGAAAGCACCTTGGCTGCATTTTAGATTTGAGTTATTAATCAGGGGAAAATATAGCTTTTAAAAGCCCTCAACAAAAATATTCCAAGAATTACGTTTGTAGCCAGAAAAGCTTCCTGGACAGATCAATTCTTCTCACCTGGAGCTCTGGTTCAAAGTCACTGCAATTACGCTTCCATCTCCTGGTGTTCTGGAGCGTCACAACATTTTAAAACCCACTAAGGCTCCAAATCAATTGATAAGGGTTACTCTAAGTTCACCAATGCATACATCTCCACCCTGCACATTTTAAAAAGCTTAAAGGACGAACAGGACGAACTTTTTACTGCACTCAATCTTATGCCCAATAACAAAGCACCAGGTCCCGATGGCTTCCCTGCTGAGTTCTATAAACACTTCTGGTTCATTCTAGCTCCACTCTTTAACAAAATGATAACTGAAATAAAACAAAATTTGCAATTTCCAGCCAACATGAACACAGCCAGTATATCACTCCTTCTCAAACCAAACAAAGATCCAACTCTTCCTTCTAGTTACCGTCCCATTTCTCTTCTCAATGTAGATATTAAAATCATCACTAAGGCACTCACAGATTGGACAAAGTCACTCCATCCATAATTCATCCAGATCAAACCGGCTTTATCAAAGGTAGACATTCATCCACTAACACACGCAGACTGTTTAATTTAATCAATTACTCATCATTACAACAAACTGGTACCATCATAGCCTCCCTAGATGCAGAAAAAGCTTTCGACAGAGTAAACTGGACATTTCTCACAAGCACATTAAAGATATTTGGCTTTGGGGAATCATTTATTAACTGGGTTAAAATTCTGTACACTTCACCTTCAGCCACTGTCATCACCAATAGACAAACTTCACGAAGTTTCACACTGCACAGGGGGACTAGGCAAGGATGCCCACTCTCTCCCTCACTTTTCACCATTTTCATTGAACCGTTAGCTGCAGCCATTCGTCAAAATATCTACATAAAAGGAATTCAAACACTCAACACCCATCACAAGATTAGTCTCTATGCAGATGATATATTGCTCTTCCTACAAAACCCCTACTCATCACTACAGGAAACTATTAAAGTCATGGAATCATTCTCCAATATCTCCGACTACTCCATTAACTGGAGTAAATCATCCATCCTTCCATTAGATAGTAACAGTTGGGATGGGGCAGCCCATACACCACCTATCCCTTTTGCACAGGTGCCATCACGTATTTGGGAATACATATTTCCCCCAGGCTGTCAGAGCTGTTCACACTCAACTTCACTCCATTACTTAAAACAATAAATGACGACCTCCTCCGCTGGATGAACCTACCATTATCACTCATGGGCAGAATAGCTACAGTTAAAATGACAATACTTCCTAAAATAAATTACCTATTCACAATGATACCATCTCAACCCACTCACTCCTGGTTCAAATCACTTGACTCAATCATTACTAAATTCTACTGGAAAAATAAAACACCAAGAATTAAACTGGCCACTCTACAAAAACCAAAAGCACAAGGACTTGAATCTCCACATTTTTTTCACTACTCTCTAGCAAATAAACTTCAATACATTCTTAAATGGATCCACCCCAACCAATCAGACAACACATGGTTAGATATAGAACAGACAGTTTGTAAGGACATTCAGATTTCTGACCTACCATTTTTAAGCCAATCTATCAAACGCCATCCTTGTTTCAAAACACTAACAATAGCAGAAACTCTGACAGCCTGGTGGAAGTTCCACAAAATCAATAACATCACTTTTGCACCTTCAAATTGTACTCCCATATGGAACAATCCCGATTTTCTAAGTCACAAGACACCTCTTAATCTCCACACATGGTCCGCTAAAGGCATCACTCATCTGAAACATATCTTCAATAATAACACCATGGTTTCATTCCTCCACTTGGTTCAGAAGTACGGCATCAGGAGCAACCAATTTTTGGAATATCTGCAACTCAAATCATCCGTTCAATCCAAACTTAACACTAAGGCCACTAACCTAGAACTACCCCCCTCAACCACAGAATTAATTAATATCCCCTCCTCAAAAAAGTTAATCTCAAAAATATGTAGAGTAATATCACAGTCTGACAAAACATCATCCATACCATCAAGAAAATGGGAATCAGACCTGTCCATCACTCCTTATGCTGATTTCTGGAACCAAATCTGCAATAACATCTACTTCATGACTAAAAATGCCAATTTACAACTAATACAGTATAAAATACTTCACAGAATTCATTACACTGGGCAAAAAAATGTTTAAAATAGGATTCACGTCAGATATCTGTCCACATTGCACTCAAAACAGCCCGGATAGCTATGTTCACGCCACCTGGCACTGCACACCAGTTAATCACTTTTGGAAAGAAATAACTAAGTCACTGTCTGTCTTCCTGGGCTGCTTCGTCCCATTATCCCCTTCACTGTGCTTACTAGGAGACATCTCAACAATACATCTGAGTAAAACAAATCGCAAATTACTCCTCGTGGCCCTAACTATCGCCAAGAAAACTATCCTCATGAACTGGAAATCAAGAAATAACACACACATCACACACTGGAGAAACTTAATGATAGAATATATTTCAATGGACAATCTAACCTCGTCCATCATATACAATACAACAGAACACCACTCCACCTGGTCATCCCTCACTATGTTTCTGCAAACATGACATCACCCATCCTATTAATATTAAAATTTGTATAGTATATATCTATTTTTTTTTAATGTATTTATTGCTATTATTGATTTTTGTTTTGTTATTTTTCTTGCCTGACAACCAATTGAAACACACGTACATGCATACATGAACATCCATATGCACACATACTTTGTTGTTTTTTAATTATTATTATTATTATTTTTTTATTTTTTTCTCCCATCTCAAAAGGCTCAAGGACATTCTCACACACACACACACACACACACACACACACACACACACACACACTGACTATATGATGTTTGCTAGCTTTTATCCCACTGTTCTTGTCATCCTCTTGTTGTTATGTCTATGTATTGTCTAATATTGTCTCTTGTCTTTCAATAAAGAAAAAAAAAAAAGAAAAAGAAATAAAAAAGCTTAAAGGGACAGTTCACCCCAAAATCAACATATTTCTTCCTCTTACCTCACGTATTGCTATTCAATCTAGATAGTTTTGGTGAGTCGCCTAGTGTTGGAGATATCGGCCATAGAGATGTGACATGCAATATCAAAAAACTCAACGGCAATGTCTCCTTCCAGAAATAGTGGTCCGGATACTCAAGATAATCCACAGAGCTTGTAGTTTCTGCCATAGTTACATCAAACTGCTCCAACAGTGGTGATGGTGGAAAAAGTACTTAACTTTTAACTTGTTAACTTATTTCTTACTACTGAGAGACAATCGCTTGAAAGACTTCGAAGCTTTTATATTCAATAGCTTAATGGGCAAAAACACATTTGTGTACAGAGCAGCAGTACAGTGGCCTCCACATGACAGAGCTGAGTTCAAAGTGGCCTTAAAGAAATGTGGCATATTCAATACTAATATTTCACTTTTTATGACCAAGAACACAAGAGCATGTTGACATAGCTACACTGCCGCCTGCAAATTGTCTGATTGTGTGTAGTTTTTACCTTGTGGTGAGTTCAGTGTCATACTGGAGGACCACCAAAGAAATAAGCCTTCTGGATTCAACCTGTTTGCAATTCATTGCAGTGTTATAAGTGGGTTTTTTTAATCATCAAATAAAATCAGTCAATCAAGCAACACACACAAACACACACACACACACACACACACACACACACACACACACACGGTATTTACAGGTGGGACTCTCTTCAATTTGCTCGCTGTATGCCAGATACTGGGGGCAGTCTAACTACTCATGCTTCCGTGTACATACAGTATATTACCTCCTCCTGTCAGTACTAAACGTGTATTTACATATTGGGACACACCAACAACTAGAGGATTATGGACACAGTCAAACTAAACCCGAACCAGCAAAGAAGTGATTCTAGTCACAGGTATTGTGTGTGTAGCATAGCCTGAGAGATCGTGTTCCTCTGAGCTACAGAGCTCCATTGTTGTCGAAAGACTTCCACACACACTAGTTTATTTTGATTCAATCCCACATGCAAATACTCACTGGAGCACCAAATGTGGATTCATCCGCTGCTCAAAACAGTCCCAAACAAATCAACTCTTTTTCTCCTGTTTGAGTAACATTTGCTGAAAACTACAGTGACCAGCTGTTTTAGGAAATAACAGTCTTTAAAAAAGAAATGTGAGCTGTTTGTGAGCAGGACAAACATGGGATTTATTGACGACAAGAAACTATACACTAACATCAGGAAAATAAGTTATGTCGTTTGATAGGCAGCAGAAACAACGACATGAAGACATTTACCTTCTTGGCACCAGTCAAAGCAGCTTTTGTCAGTTTCCTGTAGCAGTATTTAGCATAGCTGCTAATGGCCACTCCTGAAGAAAACAGAGAAAATACGACATATTTACGCCATTAGAAGATTTCCTGTTTTGTCATTGTCTGCATGTCTATACTGGTTCAACAGAAACAGCTTCCTTCAGTGCAGGAAGTTGGAATTTGTTAATAAGCACAGGGTCAAAGGTGTAGCAGCCTGCAGAGAAGAGCCATGAGTCACGAACCAGATAACCACTTTTAATTCTAACGTTCAGCCAAGCAGTCCCTGAACACGTTTGTTCTCAGAGTTACAACATAGCAACACTTATGATTGTTGTTCACACAGACATTGATTATACATGACATGTAATTATTACCAATTAATATTATTATTGATAAATATTACCTTAGACTGTATCCATATAAAAAAACACTTATTGTCTTACATGTGTAAATTAAATGTATCAAAGCTGATTAATCATTTTTAGAGTTTACCTTTATTGTGAAAATAAGAATAAATATGTTATTATAAAACTTGGGAACAGGACTGACAAAATAGTTTTTAAAGTCAACTTACTCTGTTTTTTTCAAGTGGACCGTGAGTTAAGATGGTTATATCAAAACTAACAATTTGATATTTTGCTCTCATTTTAAAGCTTAAAAGCAATCATGTAAAGAATGAAGCCGATGTGGTCAATATTTCAAACATAAATTGTTTCTTTTTATGCTTTTTCTTTGTAACTGAAATGCTATTTTCCATATGTTTACATTCTTCATGATGTAGCTCTCAGTTTTATGGGGTCAGATCAGTCTCAATAATTGCAAATGCACACAGAAAGATTCACAAATGCGCACAGAACAATTCACAAATATATTCGATTTACAAATGCACACAGAAGGATTTACAAATAAATTTCACTCACAAATGCATGCAGAACGATTCACAAATACATTCCAATGCACACATAAATAAATTACGATTTATATAAATGTAAAAAAAAAAAATCACAAACATATTTCTGCATTTGTATGTATTTCTGTGTGGATTTTTTACATTTGTTTGTGGATTTGTATACATTTATTTGTGGATCGCACTGCATTTCTTTCTGGATCGCTACATATTTATTTGTGGATTTTTGAGACTCCCCTGACGTCGCTGGATTCGCAAATGCGTTTTTTTCAACATTCTAATTGTCAACCAATCACATGAGCGCAGCTCCCCCCTCCCCTCCCCACGAGGCTGATAGCGTTAGAGTTGCGCAATTTGCGGAGGTGACAGGTCACTTCCTGTTGCAAACTGTCACTGTTTTGGTGCGGATTCCGCGGTAGTTTAGTCTTTATTTTGTCGTTATTTGACATTATGTGACAATACATTAAGGTCCTTGAAGGTATGACTGTTGGTAGTTGTAGTGTGAATCGTTGTCATGGCAACAAGTACCAACTGATGTTAGCCTACATTAGCTTGCTAATAAAAACGAGTAGCCATACTATTACAATTCGGCCTTTTTTTACTAAACTAATTACAACTACCAACAGTCATACCTTCAAGGACCTTAATGTATTGCCACATAATGTCAAATAACGACAAATAAAGACTAAACTACTGCGGAATCCGCACCAAAACAGTGACAGTTTGCAACAGGAAGTGACCTGTCACCTCCGCAAATTGCGCAACTCTAACCTATCAGCCTCGTGAGGAGGGGAGGGGGGAGCTGCGCTCATGTGATTGGTTGACAATTAGAATGTTGAAAAAAACGCATTTGCGAATCCAGCGACGTCAGAGGAGTCTCAAAAATCCACAAATAAATGTGTAGCGATCCAGAAAGAAATGCAGTGCGATCCACAAATAAATGCATACGAATCCACAAACAAATATAAAAAATCCACACAGAAATACATACAAATGCAGAAATATATTTGTGATTTTTTTTTACATTTATATAAATCGTAATTTATTTATGTGTGCATTGGAATATATTTGTGAATCGTTCTGCGTGCATTTGTGAGTCAAATTTATTTGTAAATCCTTCTGTGTGCATTTGTAAATCGAATATATTTGTGAATTGTTCTGTGCACATTTGTAAATCTTTCTGTTTGCATTTGTGAGTCTTTCTGTGTGCATTTGCAATTATTGAGACTGATCTGACCCCATACAGTTTCACCTCACAATCACAACCGCTCCTGAACTTTATTATTTATTTGAAAAAAGCTACTCACAGAACAAAGACATGCTCAAAAGCATGTGCTATACATTAGCACTGTGGGAGACGTTGACAGTAATCTGTTGTTCACTCTGTGTCCCTGTAGAGGGCAGCAGAGCACCAGAATTAGGAAGACCTTAGAAACACAGTAGCTGATTTAAGACTGAAATACTGATGTCTCTCACTGAATCTCCTGCTCGAGGACAACGGTTGTGGGGTGTTATTTAGTCGCTGACATGTTGCATGTTGGCCTTCATGTCAATACAGAGCTTTCTACGGGAACTGATATTCTACATGGGATTTGTTGGATTGTATACCTGTATCAGTTTCCCTCGTATCTGATATCTCATCCTAGAGTTCCCCACAGACCGTCCTCAGTGCAGCTAAAATCAATACCCCACCCCACCCTATATAGTAAAAAGAAAAACATTTAAAAAATGCAGAATCTGTGTAACTGCATTGATGAGCTTGTGGCATGGCGATAGTAATGTGAGAAAATAAGCAGTATTGAGCTGTCCTGTTATCTTTGGTTGGAAGAGACCCATTGAGATGGGGGGAGTTATCTTTACTCGGACACACTGTCCAAGACACCTACTGAAATCCTCTCTGATCTCTTTAGTCACCTGCAGAGTCACGGCCTGATTCAGTTATTTAGAACATTTGTACAAAACGAGAAGAGTTGATGTTCAGCACAGCTCCTAAATTGGCCTTGTTGCGTCAAATGATCGTGCCAAGGGGAAGAATGATCTTTGAACTTTGGACAAAATGGATGAGAAGTCCTTGTGCTCAGAATGATGAAGATCATGTGATATGATCAAAAGCTCCAGAAGCCTGAGGTGAGATTGTTGTCTTAAAAGGTTCTTAAACACCCTTCTTTCTGTTAGAGACTGCAGTGTTTATTGCACCCCACAATATGTTAGAACAAACCACTAAGCCGACCGTCTCCTAAATAGTATGTTTATGTACTACTCATTTCCAAGAGCAAATAGGTTTTGAAAGAAACAAAAAAAAAAGAATTATGGGTTTTTTACTAACATAACAAGTTGGACCCCAAATGAATGATAAGCCCCCAAAGTGGCCCACAAATCTCAGTTATTGCACATTAAAATATTAAAATAGTGACAGTGACTTAAAGCACATGACACAATGTGTTTATATTATATAATAAATAACCATTATGTAATACAAAACCGAAACCACCATTATTTCCTAACCTCAACCAAAGTTTAAGAAGTTTAAACTAACAGGTGTCACAGTCCTTCGTTTGTACGGTACGATCCAGGCAGCAATTAGGTTTTCTTTCAAACTTTTTACACATGTTTTTTGTGACACAATATCATGGACCAAATTGCTGGTCAAATGAGGATTTTGGTTCGAGGCCATCCTCTGAAGACCATGAATATCAAAAATATACCTCAACGCGATCTGGGCCAGTAGTTTACACAAAAAACAATGGAACGGTCAGACTGTTGCACTGAGTTCACCGCCGCCCTTAAATGCTATGAAAACGTCTCTACGAGTGTGTGCCGCCCCCTCACCCTTGGTGTCGTTGAGAGGGTCCGTGTGTCGGCAGATGTAGCCCTCCAGGTAGGTGTGGAAACGGGGCGTGGGGGGGAAGAAGGCCAGGCAGATGGCCATCAGCTCCCAGCCTCGCTCCAGGCTGTCATAGCGGAAGTTCTCTGTGGTCTGGCGACACAGCTGGATGTAGAGCTCGTCGCGCAGGCCCTGGTTGCTCCACCCGCGCACCACCACCTGACGGGAGACGGGCATAGATGTTACTGTGGATGTTGATTCAACTTCTCGGCTATTTTGAAGGCTGTGGTTGAACTGAATTGTACTTCTTATTAGTAATCGTTTTGCAAATTCACCTTCAGAAGCCTTGATGTTGCTTCTGACCCAAGCAACTGTTTTAATGAGTCTAGCTGACTACATAGGCTGCGTAATGACTCGCCCTATACGCAATGTGACCCCGAACCCAAAGGGATGGATGGATGGATAACTAACTGGTGAACATAATGGAGCATTGGGCAGCTAAAGAGACAGATATCTTTCTCAGGAGCTGGTGGAGACCAAAAACAGAGCTAAAAGAGAGAGAATATCAGAATTATATTCATCAGGTGGACTGAGAATGTTGCTCTGGATCTGCTGGATATGTCAACAGGCAACTGTTTGCTAACACATCAATCAACTGATAAGGTGATAATACGTCAATGTTGTGTGTACAACTTGTTCTGCTGGCCCAAATTGGCCACAAAACTCAATGAATGCAAATTTGCTTCTACGTCCATGTCATTGCAGGAATCGTTGGACTAGCTGTGTTATAACAGCTGCTGCAGCCATCAGCCTCTTTAACACTTCTGCTGTTTTCTACAAGATCAATATGTATCTCAATATTCACCAAGGATTTTGCATTGACCATTTTTTGGATAATTGTGGTGGGAAGAATATGAAGCTCATCTGCATGTGCACATCTTCAACTTGGTTGTGATTTAGAAAAGGAAATGTGCAAGGATGCGTGAGGGCGTTTGTTTTAGAGACGTTTCGATACAATTTTTCTGATCCAATACCAGTATGTTTAAAACCAAAAAATTGAAACAAGTTATAAATCCCTCTCTGATATCTATTTTATATTGTAGTCAAAACATCTCATTGTACTGTATTTATTGAGACTATGTTTGAACACACACATATATATATATACTAGTGCTGGGCAACGATTAAAATATTTAATCGCGATTAATTGCATGGATTTTTATGGCAAAGTTCAATAATGAATTCAAAAGTAGTGTATTGCTCACTTTTATTTTAAAAGTACTGCTATATGAACAAAAGTGCAATAACATTTGGTTTGCAAACACTTTAAACAAATAAGGTTATTTTTAACAGCAGTATTGCCTTTACACAGTAGCAGTTATAATACAGTTATAATGATTCTGATAATAGATATTCAGTCGGTGTTTATAACTTTATTTTTATGTGTGTAATAGATGCAATTTGAAATATACACCTTGAAAACTGCAAACCTATCTACTTCTTTTTTTGTTTGTTAAATTCTCAGTAGTGATAACTAAATGATGCTTATTATACATATTCCAACTCGACAATATGTATTTTAATATTGTCACTGTTGTAAATTGTTTGATTGCATGATTTACTTTTATTGTGAAGAGCATGAAAACGGAAGTGCTTTTACTTTGAAGAGACAGGAAGTAGAATGGTACGTGTTCTTGACGCTAACAATGTTGATACATAGAAAACCACATGTCGGGTGCAAGAGCTGCTCTATTCACTGTAACACTGTAATACTGCAGTTCAGACAGTAAAGTGTTCCATTCAAACAAGACGTGTCTTGGTCCTCACTAGAAGCTCCACTTCACAACAGTCACGTTTGATCTGTAACGAGACGATCGCGCTCGCGTGTGTGTGTGTGTGCGTGTGTTTGTGAGACAAGAGTGAACGACGGTGACAGAGTGTAGGAGGGGTTCTGGACCCGGGGGGAAGAAGGAAGTGACGCCACACGAACACAGCTGTTCACTGCTTGCGGCCTGGTTCTTGTGTTAAAAATGTCCGTTTAATAATGAAAAATAAAAAAAACTGCGTTAACGCGCGATAACATAATTGTCGGCATTAATTAATTAATGCGTTAACACGATAATAATGCGTTAACTTGCCCAGCACTAATATATACATATATACTGTATATTTTGATAATGATGTAATCTACCATTGCCCAATAATCATTTTCACTGCATGGAGCTTGAACGCATCAAAATGTAACTCAATGGAACCTCAGTTAACAGTTGTTAGCTCCGTTACTTACTGTGCTGACCACCAGCTGCTAACAGCTAACGTTAACTAGCTCTCCTCCTGCTGCTTTACACACAGATTTGTTGTTCTGATACTGGTATTGGTTTTGGAACACCATGTTTATCTTTTGTGTGCACGTAAACTTTTGGTATCGATCCTACGCATAGTTGAATAATGAGGCTGAAGAGAAAGCTTCCCCTCAAAGTCACACAGTAAAAAAGGACACAGCTTGTGAAACCTCCTGCACACATCTGCAGTACCGCAGAGAGGACAGTATAGTGATTCTGGTTCAGTTTGTCATCTGCAGGCACTGCAGAACCCTTGTGTATGAATCCCATACTAGTTAGTTCCCAATGAAGAATGAAGCTGACATCTAGACTAGAGTCCTAATGCAGCTATGCCTGAAGATGAAGTTTCAGGTTCAGACCAAGGACATCATTGCAAAGTCAAACCACTACAGAGGCCCACCAAGGTGAGACATGAAGTAGTCAGTGAGATAATGAGTGTGAGGAGACCGGAGTGGTTCAGGCTTTTCCACAGACCTCCAGAGCCACGGCGAGGGAGTCGACCTTGGCGCGGCGGTCTCCCATGAAGGTCTGAATGAGCTTAAAGATGTCCACAGCTTCCCTCTTCACGGAGCGGTCGGAGGTCACAATCATGGGCTTCTTGATGGGCTCACTGCTCCAGGCCAGCATGTTGGCGATGGACACCTTTCGTCTGAACAGACCCTGAGAAAACAAGCCGGGGGATGGAGAGAGACAAGAGGCAGAGAGCAGCAGAGAGGGTGAGAGGAGTGGCAGACACACAGGAAAGATGCCATTTGATCTGCTTGGATTGTTCTCATGCTAATAAATAAAATCCATCAGGTGGAATGTCCCTTTAACCCTGAGACGTAGAAGGCTGTATTATGTGGAATGCTTTGAAACCATGGCATGAAGTGGCTTCATGCATCTATCTTCATGCATTGGATGGATTGAAATCCGCTTGTGAGGTGGTTTGAGACACATTCCAGCCAGATGTTAAAAAGGTATAAATTATGCATCTGTCTCTCCGAGACAGATACATAACCTTTACTCCCCCCCACAGCGTCACCACGTCAGTAACTAAGCAGTCCACTCACTGTCCTTTTATACTGCAGACATTTTGACAGGCCGAAGCAGGAAAAAGCCCAGGGAGGAATTATTAAAATTCATGACGGCTGCATTCCATTCAGGTTTAGCGAGCTCACTGACACGGCTCGCTAAGACACGTTAGAGTTAAGAATCGTTAATGACATCATTTGCACCCGTTCTTCTCTTGCTTTGGCAAGTCAAAAATGTCTGCTGTAAGAAGGGTCAACGATGGTCCGTCTCCTCTGTACTATGGATCGCTGTTTGCTAATGTTAGCTAACATTAGCTTAACTGTTATTTTTGGAACTACACTGCTGCTGGCGTTTTTTGTCAGTTAGCATACATTTCAGGTGCATTACCGCCTCCTTCTGGACCAGAAGAGGACCGACACTGAGACGTATACGCTCTAGGGTGCCTAGAGCAAACGGAAGTGTCTTCAATCTCATCTGGATTTTATGGAGCCAAACATTAAAATCACAGACCATGGAAGCGTTCAGATGATGTACACTACTTCTATGCAGTGGTGGGCCGTCAGGGCCAGCTAAGCCTTCTCTGCTGGCCTAAACAGAATCACAAAGCTGGATCAGCTGCAGGTTTGCTGGATTGATATGTCATGCTTTGTTGTCATATGAATATATGTGACTGGTTCTTATGACTTTGTGGTTGTCATTGTGTTAATTACGTTGATTTGACTATGCATTGTCAGTTAATGACGCAGCGTCCCGTCATGCACGGATTCATGCATCTGCACCGTAGCTGTTTAACTGTAGTAGGACAGCACAGAAGGCCCAGGCATAAAATGCACGGCCCGCCACTGCTTGTATGTGGTATGTACATGTGGTGTATAGATCCCCTGTCCCCCCTAAACTGTTTTACGTGGGAGAAATTGGTTGTAATTAAAAACGGGGTTCTGGATGAATTTCGGTCTGGATGGCATCAATCAAAAGATCAGATCAGCGCGTATGTTTTTCATCCAAAAATTTCAACACACTTCCATGTTTCTGAGGCCAGAAACAAGATGGACCTTGTGTTAAGAGGTTTTTGTCAAGCTGCTGTTTCCTTCAGGCTCAACTCATGTATTATGTCTTGAGCAGCTAAACCTGATTAGTGATCAGCTGATAACTGAAACCAAGCAGTGTAACCCAGTGAGACATCAACAGTAATGCTTTAATCTGTACAGTATGTGATTTATGAGCTGAAATGTTAAGCAGTACACTTACACATATGATAATAAACAATTTCAAGATATTCCGCAACATTTTTGGAGACAATTTTGGAAAGAGTTAAAGACATAAACACCAATAAAAGTTCATGTTAGAACCACAAATCCTCTCCACTACCTGCGTGTGTTTGTTGAAGTGCTTGGACGCCCAGTTCTCGATGTCCGTCTCCGAGGAGGGCTTTCTCAGGGTGAATTCTGGGAAAATGCCACAGCTGGCGCTCGGCATCATGTTCCTGGCATTTCGGCTGGCCTCAAACTGGGCGCAGGCTCCTAGGTCCTCCGACTGACGGGCGAAGAAACGGAGGAGAGAGGAGGGAACAGAAAACGTCAGTCATCTTGCTGCAGAACTTTTGGAGCAGCTGAGAGCTTCTGTAGCGCTCAGAGGGAGCTGACTGGGATTAATACTGACGTGTTAATACGTCAATATGCACAAGGTTATCGCAGTGCAACAAAGAGTCCTTTTATTCCTCGCCATCTTGATTGAAATAACAATCGAAAGTAACGGCTGTGGATCAACAAAAGAATGACGCAAGAAAAGTAATTCAAAGGCAGCCACCAACCTCACAGCTATAAGAGCCCTTATATACAGTATACTGTGTAGAAGACAGTAAACATGAAGGAAGTACCATACGTAGAATAATGTTGCCATGGAGACATATTTTTTGAAGATGCACTGTGTTTTATTTTGGTGAAACTGCACACGTGTAGAGTTTTGTCTGCAAGTTGAACTAAACCACAGGGGGCAGATTATTATATTATTACTATTATTATAACAATCTTCCCATTGGATTCTTATATAGTTGGTGTGACCTGATGGAGCATTGTGTTCCTGCAACTCTTCTGGATACATTCACTGGGCACTTTGGCCCCCTAAAGGCCTTAATGAGGAGTTTGATATTAGATTTAAAGCTCCAGTGTGCAGGACATGGCAGCATCTAGTGGAGTGGTTGCAGAGTGCAGAGCGTTGTTTTCCTCGCTCAGAAGCCAGCCATACCATAATACCACTACTTTAGGAGCAACAGAAGTCAGATGGCGACATAGTTTTGCCCTCTGCTGCTCATGTTTACATAAAAAAACGTATAAAACCCTCTCTAGAGCCAGAGTTAGATCTGTTCTGTGCTGCTGCAGAAACACGGTGGCCTCCGTGCTCCCTCTGTAGATATGAAGGGCTCATTCTCAGCTAACCAAAACACAAGGATTCTTTCAGGGGAATATACACTAATGACAACATAAATCTGAATATTATATTCCTTTACAGCGAATAGATCTCCTGATCCCCTGACACGACCTGAAGATACCTTTAATACTCTATGTCAAATATCTTACAGGATTATTGCCATTTGGTTTTTTGTGTATTTTGTTCTTTATATTTATTATTGGTTATGCTTTTCTTATTATTAGACACACCTCTAATGGAATACAAACTATTGGGGGTACATCATGATTTATATATATTCTTTCATTTCCTTTGTATATTGTGATGTTCATGTACCTCTTGTATATAAATGTAGCCTCGATTTTGTAATTTGTGTTTATGATTAATGTATTTGCTCACTACGTCTCCACTAAATTTGCAACAGGGGTGGTGTACCATGTATCAACTATATAGGCGGAGGGTACAAGTGTATATACTTGTATTTTCCTTAGTATACCATAATGTTCTTTATGTACCTTTTCTATATAGGTGGCCTTGATGTATTATTGGTGTATATGCTTAATACATAATGTATTTACTTACTATTTGATGTTGACTACTTGCGACAGCTGTGGTATGTCTCGTGTGCTTGCACATGCATTGTGGGAATTTAAGATGGCGACTCTTCATAGTGTCTGAGTCTGAGGAGGAGAATAAAAGCCTTCTAACTTCTAGCTACTTTTTAGTTTCAAATCATGTTTATCCATAACACATTTCGTGATAATCTGTACCTGTGGCTGTCGCAGGACTGTGATAAGCAAATGAAATGGTTGGACGGTAGTGGTGGAAGCCATTTTTTCATGACAACTATTCTGGAACCCGTTAGTCTTTCTCTGTTGTTGAATAAAACTCTTGTTTGTTCTCTTCCTTCAAAGTCGAATTCTGCTCAGCAGATTCCTCGCTTCACACCCTCATCGCTAACCTGAAGCGTTGCTGAATTTAAAAAAAGAAATGCAAAGTAAGAGAAATAAAATGGTGGGAGCAGACCGACACAGACGGGAGCGAAAGCCTATTTTCCTCTTGGCTAAGTGCTTCCCAGCCCTCTTATGTCCTCGGGGGCCTCTGAGGACTCGCATAAAAGCACATGTCATCATAGCAGCCGGTGCTTATGTGTTCATTTCATGTCTGTCTCTTTACATCACACTCAAACAACACGAAACATCCGTCTGTTTCTGTATAAATACAGATTGGTTGTGTCTGAGGCAAATTCACAGTACTCTCAGACTGAAAGTCATCATCACATCACACGTTCCTGGCACACAGTGTCCTTGACACATTCAATCAGAGCTATGACTTACAATTTAACATGACTGCATCTTCAGATTCAACCCCTTCAACTATGATGAAGACATATTCTAGTGCAGTGGTTCTCAACTGGTCTGGCTGCGGGACCCACCATCACCCCTTAATGATAAGCTGCGACCCAAATCGAGGAAAATTTTCAACTTCTCAAATGTATTTAATGTAAAGACGGTGCAGTTTGAACCTGAGCTGAAAATATCCTCTGCAGTCGTAGTAGTAGGGAGCTCTCTTGTGCAGAGAAATTGTTCCTGTAAGTCCCCGTCCCACATATGTTTCACGTAAACGAGTAAAACTGCTTTGTTTGTTATGTCTGTAGATTTGTCCATTTGTAATGCAAAATGACCACTTGCCTAAATTCGAGCTGTGGTCTGTTGTTTGATGTCATCCGATATGTCTTCAATTCGTCTACTTATAGTGTCATTTGACAGAGGTATACTTTTCAGTTCATCCTCTGCTGATATTAGCATTACAAGGCATTAACACCAAATATTGTTAAGGAGTGTGAATAGACGGCACTCCGCTACTTTTTTTATAGGCAAAGGCTGAAAACGGGTCCGCGACCCTCGCGGACCCATCAGTTGAGAATCATTGTTCTAGTGTACCCAGAGACTCATCCTATTCCCACATGCACTGCGTGTATTGGTGCCAGTACAATAAACCAGCAGAATTTGGGGGCACAAATTGTGTACATTATAAATATTTCTTGCCGCTGCTTCACATTAAAAGCTTTCCACCTTCAATACCAGCAGGAAGCTTTTATTGTGAAGCTGCTACAGCGAATGCAATCTCTTTAGAGCAGAGTTGGTAGCAACTCCTTCAATCAGAGTGGAACTATTTTTTTGTAAAAAATTTGTCAATGCAAGAAGATATGGACAGTTGACAAAACAATCTCACCTCAATGTCCATAACGCAATTTGTTGCATAGAGTTTGTTGCACAGCTGGCTAGTTAACTAGGTCGCTTATTCCCCAATGCTTTAATGCTACACTGGCTACAGAAAATGAGCGGTGGGTCTAGCGGTAGCGGTCCCTCTGCTCACTTCCTATCAAGAGGGACAAGCTAACTAGCCAGCCATCAGCCTCTCTTCCCGGCGAGCTACGACACTTTAGGGCCCCGCTGACATGTGTCGTCAGCATACCAACTAACAACAATTGCCATTTTCCTTTGTACTAGTCCAGGGGTCGGCAACCTTTACTATCCAAAGAGCCATTTTGCCCTATTTTCCACCAAATAAAATTTGTCTGGAGCCGCAAAAGCTATTTGATATCACAACTTATAAAATGTTATATATAGTTATATTATATATACAAAAACTATAGTTTGTTGTATATGAAATTATAGAACAAGAATAAAGACAATTCTTGACATTTTATTGCTATTTTCAGTGACAGTATCACCTCAAACTCCAAGATAAGAGGTGTTCCCTTTAAAAGATTGTCCACTGTGCAAAAAATAAAATATAAATAACCGTTATTTATTTTTTTGGTATTTTTTGTCAAACGATCACGTGTTCGCTACTTGATTGGTTCTTAGCAGTCACGACGTGTCCTTCCCTGATTCGTCACACCCCTATCACGTGACCCTTACCCGGAAATTCACAAACAACAACAGCCTTGATTACCGATCGACTACCAGGTTAATTCAACATGGACAACTGATTACAGGTGTTGCTGACCTTGTTGTCTTTACTAGCAGCTGTTGTTCAGTTAAATTCTGCATTATTACGGAGGAAGCAGTTGTTATTGGAGCGATTAGTGAGTAGCGTGTCCAGTGGCGTTATCAGACCTACGGAGCCTAAAGTCACGGTTCGCGGCTTTGAGGACGATGGACACAAAACGGAGGACTTTCCTTTCCTTAATAATGCTTATTTTGTTCTGCACAACTATTATGAAGTCTGCACATAAACTATAAATAAACAAAACAGTAATTGCTCTCCAGTAGGACAGAGACTTCAGCCACCAGCAGAGCTACGAGTGAGAACAACAACGAAACCGAGGAAACGAGTGAGAGACGTGTGTTGACCATATTTATGGACCCATAATCGAGTAAACCTTTATGTGTAAGTGTTCATTTTAAAGTAAATTTGATATGTGAGAGAGATATAGAGCAAGACCCGCAGTGCTGTAATTAAGTCTGAAAAATAAAACTTTCCACGAAATGTGTGTTTGAGTTCATAGAGGAAGATTTTAGAGAAGATCTTAAGTGTCAAGCATGACCTTTCATTATAAAAGGCTACTTTATTACTCTGTCGTATTTTTTTTAACTAAGCAACTAATCCATTTCCTGTTTACACCGTCACCCACCCGCATACCCAGTGTACGTGAATACTGACGTGATATTTGTTTTCAGACGTGTTTGTCTGGACGGAGATCATCTCAAAAACGATGCTGAAACGCCGTGTGGACGGAGATCGTTTATGTTTGTTAAAACTCTGTTTTAAAACGAAAACGTAGTAGTGTGGATGTAGCCTCAGGGAGCCGCAATAGAGGGGCTGAAGAGCCGCATGCAGCTCCGGAGCCGCGGGTTGCCGACCCCTGTAACTAGTCAAATGGAAAACAGTTCCAAAATCGTTTCGCTCCTATGCTACTTCTATAGCTGTGTCAGATGAGCTTCAGTCATTAGACTGAGTTTGCCCAGTTGCCATGGGAATATTGATGTTCAGATTTCCATTTTCACTGAGCACTTTTAGTCTGAGCATCTACATTTGCTTTTGCTGATGGAGCTCATGTGGTTTAAAAGGATCGTGAAGTGTGTATACAGTCCAGGGATGATCTGCATGAAATAAACTATATTTTCTTTGTTCACCAGATGGTGGTGTATCATTATAACATTGTTAAAACAGGTGCAATAACCACATTTGTACATCCTTTGTTTTACTATTCTAGGTGTGTATATGTGTGTGCGTGTGTGTGTGTTCCCAGAGCTTGGTGCCACTGCGGGTGCAGTGAAAGTGTCTCACTGGACCAGGCGGCACTGTGACTGTTGCATAAGCCAATCTCAGGCTCAGCAGCATTACATGAAACATCCATGACTTTCCACCAGGGTTGAGGGTTCAACACGGGACAATATCAGACCTGACTGGGAATGCACTGCTGGTATGTGTGTGTGTGTGTGTGTGTGTGTGTGTGTGTGTGTGTGTGTGTGTTTGGGTGTTTCAGTGACTGTAGTTCCAGGTAAGGCTTCAGCTCTGTGGCTATCTAGCTGATCATCTGCTCTCATTTATAATTCACATTGTTCTGTAACCACAACAGGTCTCCAGAAGAAAAATCGTCCAGAAACATCAGGGGACTTCCAACCTGGATCCATACCCACATGTCGTCAAAAACCAATTGCAGTGTTCTAGAATTTACATATGACCTACACTATGTTAATCAATAATATACTGGATCTCCAAAAATCCAGTAGCCAGAGAGCTGAGATCACTTCATAATAAACTGATGGGTATTGATATCCGAAAATGATAACTCTGGTTTGTCAAAAGTTGGGTCTTATTTTGGTAGTTTTGTCCATCATTTTTATGTAATATAATACGATTTTACTCATCAAAGTAATTGCTATGATCTGGGGGACGTGGCAACATCACCACAACAAATTTGAGGCAAGAAACACGACTAGAGAAAAGGAATAATGTCCAAAATAAGACCCCAGTTGTTATTTTTCTATACTCCTTAATGTGGACACAGACTCCCAGCATGTAACAGTACCTGTGAGGGGTGGAGGAAAGGCTCGGGGGAGGCCAGGTTGGTCTGAACGGAGAGGCTTTTCTCTAGCAGGGCCTGGGGGAAGCCCAGCCGATCGAAGGTGCTGCGTTTCCAGTGATGGCCGTCGCTCTGCGCCAGCGCCACTTCCTCGCTGAATGCCCTCACCACCGGTCCCGGCAACGGCAGAGGCAGTGCCCCGTCACTCTCGTAGCCATCTTTGGAGCCGCCCTGGGCTGCCACCCCGCCGCCCTGCCCTGAGTCCCAACTGCTCCTCTGTTTCATCACCTGCTGGGCCTCCCACGCCAGCCTCGCCTGGGTCAGCATCGCCTCGGACGCCGTGCCCGCCAACTCCCCCTCCGGTCCCCCGCAGCGCGCCAGCTCCTGGGGGAGGGACGGTTTGCGGCTCTTGCGTTTGCGGTTACCCCCGGGGGAGAAAGCCCCAGGGCCTCCGGTAGAGGAAGAGGAGAGGGAGTGGGTCTGACTGGACGTCCAGGATATGGAGTCCTCGTAAAGCAACCTCTGGCCTCCCTCTCCACCCTCCCCACTGTAGTCCAGCAGTAGGCGGGGGTCCCTAATCAGAGACTGGCTGTGCTGCAGAGTATAGGACCCCCCATACGAGCCACCATAGCCCCCTGTAGTGCCGTAGCGCAGCAGGCGGTCGGCGGTCTTGAAGCGAGGGCTGGAAGACGATTGCTCCACGTACACCAGCTGCTTGACGTACTCCTTCCCCACAGGACTGTACTCCAGACTCTGGGTCTTTTCTGGACACTTCTGCCGGGTCAAAACCAGCTGGCCATAGGGCGACTGGCTCTGCTTGGGGGAGTGATAGAGGGGGGCCGAAGACTTGCGTGCAGGTGACTTGCCGGTGCCGTAGAAGGAGTCGGAGAGGTGAATGTCGGTGGGGGGCTCCTCATAGATGGGAGGGGGTTGATACTCTGACGGCGGCTCTTCATACAGCGGGGGTTCATAGCCGTAGCGAGGCGAGGGAGGCTGGGAGTCGGCCGAGGAGCGGCGGTGGGTGCCCGTGCCGCCCAGCTCGGCCCGCTTCAGGAAGGGGGACTGACGGCGTTCGGCGTAGAGTATGGGCGAGCCGTCGGGTTCCGGGGGCGGGTTTCCTCCAGAGGAACGGCGGATTCGTGAGGTGGTGCCCCCTCCAGAGGGAGGACCGGGTGTTGGGGGGTCGCAGGGGGAATAACCATTTCCCTGGTGGGCCAAGAAGCTGGGCTCTCTGTCCGTCACCTTGATCAGCATTCGCTCCTTCGTACCCGTGTTCCACCTGAAAGGAGAAGTCCTGAGAGGAGAGGGCAGAAGATTAAGGTTCAGGGGGGACGCACTGATAAAGAGCACGACAGGACCTGGCAATACTTTAAATAAGCTATTTTATTATCATATCCTTTGTGCCAACTGTAATAATCATCTACATGAGAATATCATGCTGTTCTAGTCATGTTATGTGCAATTAATAGTAATCTGACATCTAGACTGCATTAAAACGTCTGCAAAGATATGGACTTGTACTACTACTGGTACCGGTCAGCCAGTGCCATTTGATCCAGGACGTCCAATATGGGTACTGGATCCAAGAGTTTAAAGGCTTATCAGATGCCACATGATTTAAAAACGGTTTTAAAAAAACATAATCCAACAATCAGGCACACTGTACACAGTGATTGGTGTGAAGGGTTTGAACTTTTTTTTCCTTCTTAACACAAACACTTATGGCACTTGTCGTGTGTACAATTGAGTGCAACACTATGAATGTCTTTAAGGAGAGACTATTCAAAAGTGTGCTCCATTATCCATATTTGTTCAACTGATTACATTGATGACAAAAACATTTTTGTAATGATATTTAACCAGTTGAAATCCATTGAGATAAAATCTCTTTTGCGATGGCGATCTGGCCGAGAGGGCAGCAAAGTTAAAAGTCGAGCGCACGTTGATTTTTAAACTACAAAAACTGAACTTACGTTTACGCATTAACAGAGGAGGTTAAATCGACGTGTACGATACATACCAGACAAATAGGAAATAAGACATGACAAAATGACGTTGAAAAACAGTTTGTGGTTAAAACTTCTCATTCCTTTTGTTTAGCTAGTGAGATTTGGGACTGATCTCAGATCATTCCAAAACCAAGGGCCATGATAAACAGACTCCTTTTTCCAGACTCACACGTGGCAACTTAAAGCCCAGACAAGCATTGGACCTAAGATTTGAAATAATCTGTTCAAATACAAACTTTGTGCCTATGTAGATGGGTAACCTGCGGAGGACAGCTTTGTACTTAGTCACATAAAAGACATTTTCCCTTTGACTGTAGTTAAACACATTAAAACATGAAAATGACAAATGTTAACTAAATTTAGTTTTTGTTTTCAATATTGGCAGTCACAGTTGAAGCTCAACTTGCTCTAAGGTTTTGCTTGTCTTTGTGTCAAAAAAAAAGATCTTGGCAGTTTGAGCAGTTTGGGCAAAGTTTAAAAAGCATTTTTAATTTTGAAGTGAAAAGAAACATGCGTGAAAACAAAAGTTTTTTAATTCTAGATAAGTTTGTTTTCCCGAACATGAAATCATGTTAATTAGTTCAGATTCACTCAGCTGCTCCTTTCACAGGCGGCTTGTTTGTCAGACAAACAGCTTGGAGGAGGGGGAGGACGAGGGAGAACGGTGTGGGACGCTGGAACAAGGAGAGAACTGGGCGCGAGGGACCCAAGTGTGACATCGATTGCAGCATTTGGCCGCCCCTCCGTTTCCAAATACTGATCCCCGGGGCCGGCGCTCAATCGGTGTCAGTGAGAGTGTTTGTGTGCTTGTGAGAGAGCGAGGGAAACAAAGGGGGCAGGATTAAGCGTTACAGGGCTGTGTTGGCATCCATCACAACCAGTCCAGACTCTAACCCACTTCCTCAGTCCATCATGTGTCCATCCATTCCTCTTTTCTTTCTATCCGCCAACCTTTTCTCTCTCCGTCTCCTACTCATTACTACACAGTGAACGTTGTTCTTTCTCTGCTTATCCTTAATTATTCACGATCGTTTGACCTTCACATCAATTCACTCATTCCAGGCCTTCTCCTAGACCATCTCAACCTACAGAGTCTTCCTCTTCATCTCACTTTTCTTCACCATTAGTATTGCTCAGTCAGTCGTCAGTGACATTTCACTAACGTACCATCAAATACAAAAAGTGGCCAGAAGTGTGTACACGTTGATTGTGCCATTGATATAAATCAGCAAAAAGCACAACACCAGTCACCTTTTTCAAGGACTGGCTTTACTTATCCACATACTATGGTTTCTATGATATCTTGCAAGGAGTTTTTCCTTTGAAAGTCCAGCAACACTTGCCAATTTTCCCTCGTCTTTTTCAAAATAAATTTCCATCTTCACAGGAAACAACTTGGTTAGGTTTCGGCAACAAAACTACTTGGTTAGGGTTAGGAAAAGATTGTCGTTTGGGTTCAAACAACTATGGAAGTTACGTTTCAAACACCGTGGACGTGAACAGCTGGTCTCCTAGACGAGCCACTTGTCCACCTCCTAACTACATGGTGTTTGACGCTCTTTATACTTCCTTGTTCTGGATTACGTTGAATAAATCGGATTTGATTTTGTGGGATACATACGAGTTATGCCGTGCTCAAACCAAACGCAAAGAAAGACAAAGTCTATGCACAGACGTGATGAGACTGGAGTGATGCAAATTCGCGATGACGCCGTGCGATTGACGCGAATGGCTTTGTAAAAGTTTGTAAAGGCTCCTTTACCTTCACCTTTACACTGCATCGCTTTTCGTAGGTATAGCTACGAACAGTGTATGAGAACAACCTGACTACATTCACCTTTCAATTCTATGTATTCTGTTTGAATTCTAAAGAGAAGCTGTATTCTATTCATTCAGCACAATGATTCTCAAAGGTTACCCTTTGGTCCGGAGCTCAGTTTATGTGAAAGATGGTGAGAATCTCAATGTTGGTAAAAATGCTTTAATTCCAATGAAAAACCAGCGTTCAATAATCTATTACAATCAATAATCTATTACAATCAAATTATACTATACTATACCCTACCAGGTAAAAATGAAATGTAGAGAAATTATTCCTTTAAAAATGTACAAATTCAAATAGATCATATGTCTGAATAATTTGTTTACATGGTTCAGGTTTTAATACATGCTACACAATACACTAGTATTGTAAAAGTATGTCTGTCTTTTCAATAAAAGGGAATCCAAATAAATCTGTCATTTGTTTTGTTCACAAATAATGACAGTATAAGAACAAGCATTCAAACAGTATTTACATTCCTCAGCATTCTGTGTGTTGTGCTTACTGAAAAAAGAAAACAAAGCCAAAGAATATCCCTTCCCCTGTGGTTATTTGTTATGACTTACATAACACATGAGCGCTCACTGCGGCCGCAATATTAGAAAAGACAAGATGATTCTCAATAAGTCACTAGTGCTTGTCCTGATGTGGTCGCTCTGAGCCCTCTTTGCCTCGTGGAATCACAGACGGTTACGTCAAAACCTTCCAGATTCTAAACACATGCAGAGAAGAGAAAAGATGCATATTGTCTTTTCTATGTGTGTTTTCTGTGTCCAGATTGTGCTCCAGCTGCCCTCTGGCTCTGTCACGGTTTCAATGCACACAGGAAATGTTTCAGAAGCACAGCGTCTGATCTTCAGAAGCCACATTTATAACATAGTTTAGAAATGTTTTGCCAACATAAATACATTTTTACAGCTCATTTAGAGCAGAAAACTACGGCTAGGCAGCGGAACTTCTCCAGTTAAACGATACCTGCAACGATCATTTGTACCCAGATCTAGAAACAAATGACTATTTGTATGGTTTTGCTCTCAGCCAATCAATGCAAGCTGGTTAACATAGTGTTTGAGAGCCACTATAAAGTATCATACTCTTTAAATAACTGTATTCTGCTGCATTCTAACATGATGACGGGGATCACGGAGAGCAGGAGGACATACTGTACATCTGGTTCTTCTGTGTATGTTTGCAGACAGAAGTCAGAGACAAATGACACACATCCTTAAACCTCTACTTGAAGTCATTTACATTTGAATTCCACAATACACGACCTGCTACGGTACAAATACACCTGTGGCCTAAAGACAGCGGTCCGTGTTCTGCTCTGCATTCTAAAGTTGAGCTGGAGCTAACGTGAGGCTTCAGCAGTCTGAGTTAGGAACATCGAGTGGCTGTCTTTTAAATCCCTCTCAGTGGTGCTAAAATCATTAGTTGATTAACGGTGCAATCAACAGAACGCTCATCGATTAGACAATTATTATGTTGACGCAAATTATATGCATGTGTAAAATTGATGCATTTATCAATGATAAAAACTATTATTGAACAGTAAACTAGACTATTAATTACAAGACAAAGCGTGGCGCTGGTAGACCTATGAATAATAATCATAATGCATAATGCTGCACCGCATGTGGTGAAGTGATGAGATGAAAGAGTTTGTGACTGAAGGTAAGTATGTCGGAGAAGATTCTAGACCAAACCAGCTCGAAAATAATATAAAAACATTGAAAAACACTGAAATAAAAAACCTGTACTCTGAATAAAGAAAGTAATTTGCACTCGTTTCAACATTTTATAGACACAATATGAAAAGAGTTAATGTGTATCAGGTTTACATGCCGTCCAGACCACATTCTATCTGTGACTCCACTGGCTAGTTGCCCACCGCTGCTCCTGTGTGCGAGTGTGTGTGAGTCTGTGTGTGAGGGAGACTGAAAGACTTGGTAGACACTTCACACAACCAGATCCAATAAGGAATGCGTGAGAGCAGATCTCCAAAGCCATCTGGACTGACAGTCTGCAGCTGTGCCACCAGGCCTCTCAGCACACACACACACACACACACACACACACACACACACACGTAGCATCAAAGAGTGTCTTGGACCCTCCATGAATAATTCCCTTTCACAATAAGAGACACAGAGCAGACAGGTAAAGACTGGCTGCAGGAAGGGGAGGTGACAGTGACAATTCACAATCTTTTGTGCATTTTGAGATTATATTGAATGCACATTTTAGCCTCATTGATTGAAGATTGACTAATCAAGTCAATGGGGGAGTCACCCCACACACAGCACAATATTCCAGTGCTCTGTTTTTTTTCTTGTGAAGCTTGGAAAACAGTGCCCGCCATAAAAGGTCATAAGCTTCTCCTGTGACTCATCCACCAGAGGCACTGACAGGCCCGCTGATGTCAATCTCGACTTGTTTACTGCATTTAGCATTTACACCTGTTCTGTTTGCATGGCACCAAAAAATGACATCTCCTTACAGCACCATGTTCCTGAAAATAAAAGATGTCTTCCGCCGCCAACACAAACATCCCGCCACATCATCCACTTCTTCTTCTGTTGAGTTTTATGGCGGTTGGCATCCATGAGTGCTGCATTACCACGGCGTGTGTGAAAAGGTGCAAAGACGGAAATATTCCTGAATGTAGTGCATGTGTGTACGGTGAAAACATCACTAGCGGTGAATTGCAGCTTTGTGCCATGGCCATGTGACAATGACTTTGTTTGATGGCTGTTGCCATTGGCTAGTGGCACAGAGACTCTTGAGAGATTTGAGGGAGAACAATTCCACTGGAAAATAACAGCATGGTCAACAGGTGTGCAAGATGTTTCATGTTCATCTGATAAACTTGTGCATCAATTAGTCAAACTGTACTTACTACTTTATCTTGAATGAGCATGCTAATTGAGGAGTTTAATTGATCTATTTTCCTTTCATTCTTAATTGTAAAATATTTCTTTTACAAATGAGTTTATCACACAGTCCACATTGCCGGCTCAAATTTTTTAAAGGAACTTTCCCCATTAGTTTGCTTGCTGATAGTGAGCTCACCACATGGCACATTTGTTTTTGACAAATAAATGGATCCATTTGGCAAATTAAAGAATTATGTGTGTGACAGGATGTTTCTATCTGCATATGACATTGTAAATACAGCCTGAGCAGATAACCCCTATATTTCCATTTTATTCCTGTTATTTCCCTGGAATTCATCGTACTGTACATCTGTGTGCTAACTGATTCAGACGCTGCATAAACATGCAGCCTATAAGTGAACTAATCCCTCTCTCTCGCTTTCTCTCTTCCTTTCCGTTTCCGGTGAGTGTGGAGACGAGACGGTGGAAGAGCGAGTGGCGCTAGATTTGAATGGTTTCTGATCTTCGGATCTTTAACTGGTTTTAGTCTCTTGAACGTCTGTACTGCTTGGTGTGTTGAGTGATCGGGGCTCTGTCGAGGTGCGTTCGGGAGGAATGGCGCCCTCCGAGACGCCATCTCCGTCTCTCCGGCAGGGAGTGAGGATAACAGCGTGACGGTGGAGGAGGTGTTGCTGGCTGTCGGTGAGCAGGTGGGACACGATAAGCTCAGCTTTGCCTCCAGAATGAACAAAGCAGTGGTGGTGTTCCTGAAGCAAGAGCCTCTAGTCCACCAGCTGATCGAGAGCGGAGTGTTCATCAGGGACGTGTTCGTGCAGGTCTCCCCGCTGTCAGCTCCCTCCACGCGGATCACCGTGTCCGGTGTTCCGCCGTTTATCCAGAACGAACTGTTGGAGCAAGAGCTCCGGAAGTTCGGGAAATTTGCTAGTGGACTAAAAACAGTGAGTCTGGGATGTAGAGACAAAGATGAGAAGGAGCAGAGCCAAGCGGAGGAGCAACAGGCTAATGTTGCAGAGAACAGCAGCTCTCAGACTGGACAGCCCCAGAAAGCGTGGAGGAAGCAGCCTCCACCGGTGTAGAACCCAGTGTGTCTAACAGTCAGCTGTCAGCTGGAGAGGACATGGAGCATGACTATGAGTCAGACATAGAGTCTGTGAGTGGAACCCCCGGATGTCACAGTTCAGCTCCACTCCCTCCTCACTCTTATTGTCAGTCACTCCCTCCTCATTAGTCTAAACTCCCTTCACCTGTTCACTCACCTGCCTCTGATCAGTAATCAAGCTCCTATATAGACTCCTGCCTCCCAGACACATTTGCCAGATTGTTCTTTGGTTCTATGCCAGACTCTCCAGCACACTCTCACGGACTGATCTCCTGTTACCGATCCTGCCTGCCCCTGTTTTACCCGCCTTGCCTGACTCCCGGTAAACCCACCAGCCTTCTGATCCTGACCCTGTTTGAACTCTGCCTGATATTTAAAGTTAGTAATAAAAGCCAAAGATCTCTGGAATCCTGTGTGTTGCATTTGGGTCCATATACAACCCGTTACACCGGACAAGATACAGATATGTACACATTGGAGGAAATAAACACTTTTCTAGATGAAACGTATCAAAAGAAAGCTAGAATAAACTAACACTTCAGTGACACCCCGAAATTCATAAGATCAGCCATCTCTATTATGAAAGTGGTCAGTTTTGACATTCTGGATGAGAAGAAGCGGTTTCGCCTTAGAAACACATCGCTGCTCTTAGAAAAGCACACAAAAAAGGAGATAAAGGTAGAAGTCCTTTGATTAAAGGTCATAGGTTCTTCTAAAGGTACTTCAGGTTACTGAAGAAAAAGGCCGTTAGTTAATGTGTGATTTGCTGTTATGTTTCTGTGGGTGGAGGAGTTGTTTTTAATGTATTCTCAATTGATGACGTGACTGTAATCTGTCCTCGATATCAAAATCTCTCTCTCTCTCTCTCCCATTTCTCCCATTTCCTCCCTCCTTTAATAGGTTCCTTGGTAGAGCTGTGCAGAGGTCAAAAGCTCCCATCTGTCACAGAGGAAAGCTGTGTGGTCTATGACAGACTGCCCTCCTTAACACCATTCACTCTCTCCAGAGACCATCTTCAGCCCGACACTCCGCTTCCACACTAAACACACTGCTTACTGCCCTAACTCAATGAACCAACTAGAGGAGAGAACATCAAGTCGTTTGATTCTACGTTGAATATTTACTATGAAGAAATACGCTGATGGTGGCTGTGCAGGTTCAGATAAGTGTCTCTGGACCACAACGCTGGACGGGCTAACAGACACATGAATCATCTGACATCCTCACCATTAGGCTGTGTGTAGAGCGTATCGTGTGTGCACCTCTTCACTACTGTGGCTGATTCTGACCCGCTGACCAAACAGCCTAGAAGTCAAAATCTTGCAGCGTAGACCAATTTCTTCTTTCTTTCTCATTGCACTTTCACAATTAAAGCCTTTGAGGTGTTTATCAATGGAAAGCTTTTATTATGAAGCAGCAGCAGGAAAGAGACAGAAAGTTATAATGATGAGATACTTAAACACACAGTCATAGAAACAGCTCTTTGGCTGGTTACTGTACACTTGACGTGGAAATGTATTGTGAGTACATTGAAGACTACTTTAAACGTGGCTTTACAACACATGAAATACTTCACGTGGGATTGTGCAAATGCACCCTTGAAAGGATTTTAAGCTTTGAACAAAGTTATTGTAATAACTTGTTTGATATTTGTCTTCGCTATTTTCTTTAATAGTTTGATCTTTGATAGAGTAATTGTGGTCTCTTAACCCTAAATTAAAAGGATTTAAGTTAATAAATAATAACTGAAATGTGCTTAAATATATTTGTACATTTATATAACTGCATGTACAATATTTTCACACTTGAATAAACAATAATCAAATGCAGAGACAGTTATTTAACAATATGTTAGGAGTAGTTACATTTACACAGTCTTACAGTTACAACCGGCCCTTTGAGGGAAACCATGATGCTGATGTGGCCCAGGGTGAAGATGAGTTTGAGACCCCTGGTATAGGGGGTTAGGGTAAAGGGGTTAAGATAAAAGGGATTTGGGTAAAGAGGGTTAGCGTATAGGGGGTTAGGGTAAAGGGTGTTAGGATAAAGGGGGTTAAGATAAAAGGGGTTAGGGTCAGGGTGAGGCATTCAGTTGTGATGATTAAGGAAATGCATGATGTCAATGAGTGTCCTCAATAAAACAGAAGTACAAGGTTGCATGTTAGCGTGTGTGTGTCCTCTCAATGGAGTAAAGAACTATTTTACAGGACACTGTGACCCCACCAGGCATATCCACCAATCACTGCAGACTGCAGCAAACCAGCAAACCAAGACTGGTAGGGGGGTGGGGTAAGGAGAGGTGAGAGGCTCTGAAGGTGAGAGGATAGAAATTAATGGACAGTGACAGAGACAGGAAGGAGGGGACGGGCTGATGGGACAGAAAGAGAAAGAGAGGAACAGGAACAGAGAGAAACACTTCTAATTCTGACCTTCATCAGAGTCACGTGACAGAATGTCTTTCCCTTCTGATTGTTTATTCACATTGTGAATTACGAAAAATAATGCGCCGTCATTCGTAGGTATCCGAGATTCTTTAGTATGTTCTCAACGTTATCATGAACGAGGAAGTATAAAGACCACAAAAGCGCACACAGGACGGGCGGGAGGGGAGGTCGATGGGTCCAACAAACAGAGATCCTTCAGCCAAGAGAACGCTGTTCCCCGTGAGAAACTACAAATCAACGCTGATGTTTTTGTCACAAAACTTGGGTACTAAAGTAACTTTTTAAGTACTTTTGTAGCTTTTTTTTTTTTTTAAACCAAACGACGATCTTTCCCTGAACGAAGTATTTCACCATCTTCTCTTCAAACTAAGTATTTTTGTTGCCTAAAGCTTACTGAGTAGTTTCCTGTGACTTGATTTTGAAAAGACTGCATTTAACAAGCGTAAAGTTGTACGTGTTGCTGGTTTGAATAGGAAACAAACAGATATCAGAAGAAGCCTGAGGATACATTGCTCCAGAGGTTGTTTCTTTTAAGGAACGAGGAGAGATTTCGATTGGGATATTTTCAAACTGAAGACAAGGTTGATTAGATGGAATCAGTGCGGTGAAGGAACCAGACAATGCAATGATGTGAAGAGCACAAACACACATAACTCAAGATGGATGGTACAGAGCCAGAGATATAGAGATCCCTTTATTCCATTGGTTCTTGTATCCCTACAATCCCTTTATTCCATTGGTTCTTGTATCCCTACAGAAAATTGCCGCCAACACCTACAGTATAAACGCACCTCGCTGTGTAAAAAAAGCTCCCCTTTGCTGTTAAGACACGTGAGCTCCAAAATAACGACTTGCTTGGGTTTCTGTTGGCCGGCTGACTCAAGCGTCTCACCTGTCGGCCTCGTCCCTGCCGCCCTGTTTCTCAGACAGCTCCTGGTCGAGGGAGGAGGAGGTGCTCCCCTCGCGGCTGACCCCGCTGTTGCGTCCCAGGCTGTTCTCCGCCGACGCCCTCCCCCCTCCGGCGGGACGGGGGATGCCGGCGTCAGTGTGCTGCTTCAGGGTCTGCAGCTTGGCCAGGGGGATGATGTCGCAGGCCTGGGGCCTGTGCCACACCGTGCGCTGGGTGGAGGCGTTGTAGTAGTAGAAGCGCGAGGTGTTGGGGTCGAACAGCTCCCACCACTGGTTGTCGCCGGTCCGCTTGATGCAGACGCCCTGCGGGGGGTCCCACACGCACTCGCCCGTCAGCAGGTTGGCGTACATGCGCTCCCGCGTGCGTGGCTCGATGATCTCCACCCACTCCAACCTGCAGGGGGACAGTTCACTGTTTTCAGTTTAAGAACAATCTGGAAGACATGCGTTGTATTTATTGTTATTCTCCACGAGTCAACAACACATATCGTCACGATCATTAATTATACGATGCGTTCTAAAACCACGGAGCCAAATTCACTCACATTCATATTATGAATTATATCTTCATGCATTACAGCATAAATGCATGTTAAGTGTTTTAGAGCCCAAACTGTGCAGTTAATATTAAGAAAATATCCATACACGATGTACTTGAGTGTCACAATATTTTGTTTGTGATTTGTAATACTGCATCCATTCTCAAAAATAATGGATCGATTTTTAATCAATAGTTTGAAAATATTTATAGATAAAAATATATAATTTTTTTTAATGATATGGGCAATTTTTTTAAGTAGTAGAAAAGTAGAGCTATTATGTTGGATGTTACAGAAACATATGAGGGCGTGCTCTATATATTATATATAAACTATAACTGTTTTCCTAAAATTTGATTTAATAAATACAACTACCGCCTCATTGTATAACTACCCCAAACACTCAAGTTGCAGTTTACATCCATGTCTTTCCAAAGATGTCATCACGACATAATTTTATCCCGTTAGACATTTGTGTGAAATTGTCAGAATTAACACATGAATTCTTGAGTTACAGTGACCTTTGACCTCAAATTACAAATCAGTTCATCCTTGAGCCCAAGTGGCCGTTTGTGCCAGGATTTGAAGGAATTCCCACAAAGAGATACAGTGAGAATGGACCGGATGTTTGAGTTGTGCTGAAAGAGCTGAAGGCTGCAAAGGTAAACCACCAGGTCATGAAAATATCATCTCTGATGCCACAGTTCTCTCTGGACAGGTGCTGCTTTTCTTATGGTACGCAATTATCTCCCTGGAAGCTGTCAAACAATGGGATCAGTGGTAGAGCAGTCAGAGGATCAGAGGATCAGCGGTTCGATCCCCGGCTCCACTAGTCCATGTCGATGAGGCCTTGGGCAAGACACTTAACCCTAAGTTGCTCCGGCAGCCTGTTCCTGCGGTGTGTGAATGATTAGATAGTCCTGATGGGAAGGTGTTACCGTGGTGTGAATCGGTGTGAATGATGACATGTAGTGTTAAAGAGCTTTGAGTGGTCGGAAGACTAGAAAAGAACTATACAAGTACAGTCCATTTACCATTCAATGCCTTCATCAGACCATTAGCTTACAGTGTGACGACCCTGTCTGCCTGTGTGGCTGCTTTCCTTGCAGGTGTGGCAGAGGATCGTCAGGCAGAGTGGGGACACCTGAGGCAATTAACAACACTGGCCCTGTGTGCCAGTGCACCCTTTATAAAGAACCCTCTGAATCCTCAGTTTGCCTGGCTCCCTCCTGAGACACCCATTTTGGTTGGTTTCGACACTATACAACGCTGCATATACACTTTACACGCACCCACTCACTTACACTGCTGAAATGACTGACTTCACATGTCACTGTTAGTTTATGTTTGTCTTCTATATTTCTTTAAACATTAATAAATAATTGATTAACTGTTTCATTGAAATGCGTCTCCCTTTTTTGTCATGGCCGTTCGGCCCGGTTTGTGACAAGTGGGGGCTTGTCCGTCCAAATTGATTGGTTTGAGGCTGATATTTGGTTCTGTGTTTGGGAGATGCATTTTTTTTGGCAGCAGTGAGTACATGGTCCTCTAGTGTGCATTTTTTGACTTTTGTGGAGTGTCCCTGGATAGGTGAAGCAATGTGGTCCGTGTGGCTGCGTTGGTTTGTTTTTTTTGTTTGTTGTTTTTGTGTGGTGTGCGGTCAGAGCAGTTGTCTCGGGGACACATCCATAGCTGTCAGGTGAGTAACCAGCTTGCTGGGGCCTTAACTGGGCTATTGGTGTTTTAAAAAGCCTCCCGCTAATCTGCATGAAGACTAGGGTTCAGTGAGGTAGATTAGTTTGGTATAGGCAGTTTAGGTATAGGGACTTCCACATTAGTTTGGGCGACATATCATTGTCTCTTTTACGGCACTAGTTGACCTAGAAAACTGTCTGGTTTTGTGGTGGCCTTTGACCTGGTCTAGTATGGCAGGAGTACAGGACTTTGTTGATGTTCCAGGTGAGGAGTTTCTGGATCATTGCACTAGAGATCAGCTCTTCAAGATTGCAGAAGAGTATGATATTGATTTAAGTGGTGTTGGTGATAAACGACTTAAGGAAAATGTAAAGGCTATGGTTAAAAAGCAGTTGGTTGAAAGAGGGGTGCTGGTTGCTAAACAAGAGGGACTGGGTCAGTCAATAGCAGCACCGGCACTTTCAGTTCCATCGGGGAACCTTACCTTTGAGCAGCAAAAAAGAATTGCTTCTGTTACAGTTTTCTCATGAGAAGGAGAAACAAAGAGTGGAAGTGGATAAACAAATGGAAATTGAGTGGTTTCGGTACAAAATAGAACAGGAAAAGATGGCGTTAATCAGAGATGGTAAGCTTTCTGGAGATGTTTTGCACGCGGAAAATGGTTCATCATCGCGTTCTCGCGATATTGTGAGTAATTTGCATCTCTTGCCTAAGTTTAACGAGAAGGATCCGGATGTGTTTTTCTCACTGTTTGAGGGGATTGCACAAGCAAGAAATTGGTCAGACTCTAAGCAAACCTTACTGTTGCAGTGTGTGTTGTCAGGAAAAGCCCAGGAGGCATATACAGCTTTAGATAATGATCTAACTTATAAATCGGTCAAAGATGCTATACTGAAGGCATACGAGTTGGTCCCTGAAGCACATCGCCAGCGTTTTAGGATGTTGGAAAAAAGGTTCAACCAGTCTCATGTGGAGTTTGTGAGGGAGCTGACAAATAATTTCAATCGTTGGTGTATGTCTTCTGATGCTAATGATTTTGAAAGTTTGTGTAATCTGGTCATCTTGGAACAGTTTAAGAACTCTCTGCCCAGTCGTGTTGCCACATATCTTACTGAGCGTAAGGTTACAACTGCCAACCAGGCTGCTGGGTTGGCTGAGTATGTGCTCATTCATAAAAGCCGGCTGGGTGAGCCTGTGTTGCAGAATGATGGAGGTGTTACGTCATCTGTTCGCTTGGGGGGTTTTCCAGGTAGGGCGCCTCGAGGAGCGCCTGAAATGGGAGAAAGTACGTGCAATTGCTGCCGTGAACAGGACTGCCCAATGCTTATGGATAGGAGGCAGCAGGCTGGAGGTGGCCGGCTGAAACCCTCTGCGCTGGTGGTAAGCGTTCCTGGTCCTGTGGGAGTGTGGCAAGGTGGGCAGGCAGAATGTGACGTGGTTGGTGACCCCAATGAGTGCTATCGGCCTTTTGTCTCCGAAGGGTTTGTAACACAGACTAGTAGTGACATTAAGGTGCCCGTTAAGATTTTGAGGGATACGGGTGCTGTTAACTCCTATGTTCGAGACTCCATTTTGTCATTTTCAGATGAGACTGATACAGGGGATAAAATCCTGATGCGAGGAATGGGGTTGAGGGTGTTGCCTGTTCCGGTGCATATGCTGACTCTAGACTGTGGCTTGGTGCAGGGCAGAGTTCCTATTGGGGTGAGACCAGCGTTACCAGTGGAAGGGATTGACATCATTTTGGGCAACGACCTGGCTGGCGTGTGTGTGGGCAGATGTGCCTCCTCCTCCAATAGTCACTCCCTTTCCTTCAGCCTCAGAACAGCCTGATGAGAGTGCTGTAAACTTCCCCGACATTTTTCCTGTATGTGCGGTTACTCGATCGATGAGTCGTGCCGAATCAAAGGAGGTAGATGGGGAGGTGGAGGAAAATTTGCCGTGTTTACCTGATTTTCCTTTGTCTCGGTCTCATAGTGATCTGCAGAATGAACAGAGAGCAGATCCAGCCTTGGAGGAGTTGTTTGGATCAGTGCTGTCAGTTGGTGAGGCGAAACATGTTTCCAGGGGCTACCTTCTTCAAGATGATATTTTGGTGAGGAAGTGGGTGCCCCATGGTGAGGATTTTGTTGGGGATCCCATTTTTCAAGTTGTCATTCCAGCCAAGCTTCGTGGTGATTTGTTAAGACTTGCTCATGATGGGTCAGGGCATTTGGGTGTCCGGAAAACCTATGACCGGATATTACGCCATTTCTTCTGGCCACGAATGAAAAAGGATGTTTCTATGCATATTAAAACATGTAGTACGTGTCAGCTGACTGGTAAGCCAAATCAGGTCATTAAACCTGCTCCAGTGGAGCCGATTCCAGCTATCAGTCAGCCGTTTGAGTACCTAATCATTGATTGTGTGGGGCCGCTGCCCCGTGCGAAGTCTGGCAGCCAGTATTTACTGACTGTTATGTGTCAAAGCACCAGGTACCCGGCAGCGTATCCTTTACGAACAACTGCAAAATCTGTGGTTAAGGCCTTGACTCAATTCATAACTGTGTTTGGCATCCCTAGAGTCATACAAAGTGACCAGGGATCAAATTTTTCTTCTCACCTGATGGCCCAAGTCTTGAAACTGCTAGGTATCAGACATAACCAGTCGTCTGCTTATCACGCACAGAGCCAAGGCGCTTTGGAGCGTTTTCACCAAACACTCAAGTCTCTTTTGCGCTCATATTGCACTGAGCTAGATGGAGACTGGGAAGATGGGCTACCGTGGTTGCTGTTAGCTGCACGGGAGGTTGTACAGGAAAGTACAGGGTTTAGCCCAAATGATCTAGTGTTTGGCCACACTGTCCGGGGCCCATTGTCTGTGTTTAAGGATGGTTGGAAGGAGTCAGATCCGCCCACCAACCTTATTGATTATGTGAATGGGTTTAGACATCGGCTTTATTCTGCAGGGGAGTTGGCAAAGGAAATGTTGGCCGCATCACAAGCTAAAATGAAGAAGAGGTATGATCTCCAGGCTGAGATACGCGAGTTTAGTGTCGGTGATCGAGTTTTGGCCCTTTGTCCAGTGGTGACTTCACCCTTCCAGGCTAAGTTTTCTGGTCCATTTACAGTGGTCAAACGCATCTCAGACAAGAATTATTTGGTTTCGACTCATGGTCGC